AAGTATATTGTTAAAATTAATTGTTAAAATTTTATTATAAAAATTAATTTTTTAAAAAAAGATGCAGGCAAATTTGCTTGCAATACAATTTAAGGGATAAACTAAATAATATTCTACAATAGCATAAAAATCTTGAACTACAAATACCGATAGTCATTTAGAATAGTTCACATAAATATCTACTTCTATCTTTATCATAACAGTATAATTAATCTGTAATCAGTTTTTATTATGATGGATTTATTTTGCCCTAATATAATGGCTATCTTTTGTTCTAAGCTGATCATACTTTGTTCCTGTTTGACTAAAAGACATAAGCTGCAACTCAGACATATCTAATATAGTAGAAAAATGTTTTTTAATTTTTTTTAATTCAGCCTATGTTAATTTGTGTAGAGTTGAAAGAAAATAGAAATCTTGTCCACCTTCTTTAGTGTAAGCCAGATGTTTATTATAAATTTTGAGCAAAATTGATGAGAAAATTTGGTTATATATTATTTAGTTAAATTTTAAACAATTAAAAATTTTATGTAAGTAAATGTTATTAGTAAGATTCTTGTACAGATATAATTTTGATTTAATTAAAGGAAGTAGCATTCTATACATCCTTTCAATTGGATATTGCCATGTCATACAATAGAGTCCAGTTTGAAAGATACTTTCTAAAACATGCAATATATTATGTATACATATTTTCATTGTGCTTAAATGTTCTGATAGCCTATAATAATACTCTTTTGCATAATGTTTAAAAAATGCTAGAAGATATGATCTAATTTTATTTAAATCATCATATTTTATTATTCTTTTTTGATATAATCATATAGCCTTTACAAACAACTCTCATCTTTTGTAATATTTATTAGGCAATTGATTTTTAAGAAATGATAGTTAATACATTGTAATCTAAGAGAACTATTTCTTTGCTTTATAGCTATAATAATGCAAAACAATATTTCACAATAGCTGACCCAAACTTAATAAAATGTTTTTTTATACTAAATGCATCTTATTTCCAATTTTATTATACGTTTCTTTGTTTAAAACATATTCATCATTATTTTGATCTTGATCAGTAAAAAAAGAACCCATCCAATGAGCCAGCATATAATAAGCAATGTTTTCATAAAATAAGTACATAATATCTACAGGAAATATATTTGGAAAGTTGGTAGCATTGAGATTAAATAATATACTTTGTTTGTGAATACCATAACAATTTATTGTTTGATTTTTTTTCTAATTGTGTTTGTGCTTTTTAAATTTTTTTATTTGTCTTTTGAATTCATTATGAGTTCTAATTGGTAAATTTTCAGGTTCATAAGTTTTACTATTCTGATTATTGAGTGGTTTGGTAGGATAATATATATGAAGAATAAATGCCTTTAATATTGCAATAGTAGCATCTTCTATATAAATTATGCTCTGTAAGACACATTAATTTTGTAAGTGCAGGTGTGTCACTAAATCAAAATAGTACACAACCACGTAATATAAATATATCTTCATGTTAAACACTAGGGCACACTACTCCTTCTTTTAATCTTTGTAGTTCAGTAATAGTAGGAAATAAAAAAGAATTTAGATCTTTTAGTTCTTTTGAACCTGATATAATTGTGAAGATCAAAAAATTTTCTTTTTTTATATGTATTTCAGAAGATAAATTTGCATTTATAAATAGCAAAATCTAGCAGTTATTTATCCTCTGTTTAAAAATTTTAAACCTATTAATCGATGCTAATAATGCAATGTTATATTTTTTTTAAAAATATCCTCTTTGTACTAGATCTTTATATTATTGGCTATCAAACATATTACCAATTTTTTTATTATATTGATATTCTGGCTTTGATACATATTCTGAACAATAAAGTAGATTTTTTGTTTGTTCTGTATCTTAGTATTGCATTATAAGATGATTAATAATTGGGAAATATGCAAATTTACAATGTGCTTCAAGATCTTTGTTATTATGAAATTTAGCTTGATATTATTTCTTTTTGCAATATGAACATTTTGTAAGATTACTATAATTGCCAGTATAAGCACAACAGGTATTGATACACATATCTATTCATACAAGTTTAAATAAAATTAATGATAATAGTTTTTTTTAATTAAATATAAGCTTATAGGTTTTGTAACTACAGTCTTTATGATTTCAAAAAAGGCTTCATCAGTAAGATTATTTTGCACTTTAATTTTTAGAAGTCGAATTATAGTGGCAAGTTTAAAAGATATAATGAGTATATTTTCTAATATTTAATTATATGTAAATAAATAAAGTTGCTGTAAATAAATAAAGTTGCATACTAGTAGATATTATAATGTAGTATATTACCTTTAATATCTATATTACTTGTATCTCTTATAGTTGAATTATTACTATCACTCTCTGACTTATTATTAGAATCTTTATACTTAAGCCTGCTCATATACTTATCACTACCCTCTAAACTATTTCCTAATTCATTATAATTCTCAAATTCATTTTCACTTGTTAAACTATTCTCTAATTTGTCAGTCTTCAAATTCATTTTCTCACTCTAAACTATTCTCCCATTCATTATTGTTCTCAAATTTATTTTTACTCCATAAACTATTCTTCTATTTATCATTGTCCTCAAATTCATTTCTACTCTATAAACTATTTTCTAATTCAATATTGTTCTCAAATTCATTTTTACTTTCCAAACTATTCCCTAATTCATTATTGTTCTCAACTTTATTTTTGCTTTTCAGACTATTTATTAATTCATCATCATCATCAAATTTATTTCTGCTTTCTAAGCTATTCACTAATTTGTCACAATCTTCTAATTTATCTCCATTTTTCAATTTATATACCAATTCATTTTCATGCCCTGAATTATCCTCTAATTTGTATCTACTTCCAAATTTATCTACTTCTAAATTATTATTAAAGTTGCTATAATTTTTTAAATTATTCTTATAATCTTGATAGATTTGTAGAGATTTTTCTGAATTTAGATTAAACTCAACTAAATTTTGATAAAAATTATTGTCTGTAACTGAAATTTGAATGTTATTTTGTAATGTTGAATTATTACTAGGACTTTGGATATTTTATTTATCATATTATTGATGCCTAGTTTTAGCACTTTTTGATGTTCATGAACCACCATCATTATTTGATGAGCACAAATAACAAGTACACTACACTAATATTTAGAAATTATATTGATAATTTTTTTTTTTTAAAAAAAAAAAAAATTAATAAAATAAATAAATAAATATATATATATTTTTGATTTAATTAGTCACATGTTAAAATGTTTAGAATTATATTTTATGCTTCTATTTTGTAGCAAGAATGTTTGGGCCTCAGACCTTTTTTAAATAATTAATTTCTTTCATATTAAAAAAAAAGAGTTTGTTGTTTGTCTTTTTTATCTATTTTCTTATTTTATTAACTTCAACCAACTCCTTTACTTCTTTAATTAACTCCATCTTTACTTCTTTAATTAACTCCAACCAACACCTTACTTCTTTAACATATAAGATTAATACAAATATTCATTTTATATTGGTTTGAGAGAAAAGATTAGATCTCTTATTAATTACTAATTCTTTTCTTTTATATAATTGTTCTTACAAACCTATTTTATACTTTATTATTATTGTTATACAAAAATCGATTATAAATGCTAAAATAGTAATAATATGCTGTGTATACAGTATTTAAAATAAACTTTACATGCATAGACTTCTGGTTTTACTAATGAATATTTATAGTTAAATTAACTATATATGATCTAAATATCACTTACATTATATGTTACCTAGTATTACCAAGTAATCCTTATCTAATAATAATCACAATACATATGAAATATAGTGTATATGATATTTATGCGTGAAGCTTTATAATGTTTACTAATTGTTACTCTAAACTGAGTCTATTATATATATATATATCAATATATATATATATTTGTGTGTATAACAATTGATCTCTTTTTTTATAAAATATATTTTCATGATAAAACAATAATTACATATTTAAAATAAAATAGGTTTAAACAAAAATCAAAAACAACTAAGTAATAAAAATAAATGAAGAGCAGATACAAGTGAAGAAGAAGACTTAAACCAGTCTGAGATAAAGTCTGAAATGAATGAAAGTAGATCAGGTTTTAATATTAATAATAAGACTTTTGTAACAAAAAATATTTCAGCTTTACTTAAGCAACTAGAAACCTTGAAAAGACTTCAAATTGCTTGTAACAAAGAGGTTAAGAACTAGAAAACAGATTTCAATTCAGATAATATGGATAATGACTTATCCAAAAAAGAAAAAGGACCAAAAGAAAAAAAAATTACAAAAAGGATGATACTTCTAGTTCAGAGACAGAAGGTACTGATAATAAGGTTCTATTATATACTGTATATAATATTTCTAATTTAAATCTTTATATAATTTAATAATATACAATTTAAAGTTGACTCCAATCGAAAAACCAAATGAAGCAACATATATTGATATCTCTAAAACACTCAAACTAAACAATCTGTATATAATAGCTATCAGATAAAATTTTATTACATTGTTTAATTATAATAAATAAATAATTATAATAATTATTAATATTATCTAGGAATCATTTTATTTGATAATTATGGCTAAATATACAAAGCAAATGCCTGAATTTCAAAAAATTCCAGTGAATAAAAAGAGTGAAATTATTAGAAAGGCAAATATAATCATAATTTAATTGTATTGTTGATTGCTTAAAATAGTTAAACAAAAAAATTCTTATTTTAGTTCAAGTGAAAGAACCTAAAATTTCCTATTACAACATGTGACTGGGCTATTAGACAAATGATGCAAGGGGGGTGTGGCGACCTAGTGAAGTAGTCAGGTTGTCAACCCCCCAAGTGGTAGGTTGAGTGTTCAAATCTCATCGATGGCGAAAATTTGGATAATCACCTATATAATCTGGTATTATGGCAACTGTTCCTAATGATTGGGTTAAGATACCTGTAATTATGGTCACACTAGCATAACTGGCAGGTCATGGGGCATCTGTGTAACTTGTTATACAGAGGAATGCAAACTAACAAATCAGGCGGTGCAAACTCAAGATAAGTCCTTGTGGCTGTATAAATCCGTAGAAATTGGAGAACAAGAAGCCCATTTGGGAAGACCTGAGTAGAGAGGTAACACAGATCTTCGATGGTACAACTGTAAAGGCTAGACCTAAGAAATGAATACCAATGCCAAAGTAGCCAGACGGGCAAGAACCTCTGGGTTGGGAGTCTCGGATGTACTACTAACTAGGCCACCAGATCGGACTGGAGGAAAAGAATATTGGGCTGACCCGATATACTGATGGACTGATCGTAGTCCTACATGGGCTATCTGGATTGGAAGTTTGGTAAAAGAAGCAAGGGTATACTAAAGTACTAGGGATATGCTGTGAAGTAGGTACTGGGGTCTGTGTGAACTCTACAAAGGCATAGCAGTTTAATGGTTAGCCCTAACTGCAAGTATTGGTTCTGCCATAGTGATATCTAGGTCAGCTGCAAAAATGGGTAAACAGCAGGCTTCGGAAGGTTTACCTCGAGGATAACTGTCCTAAGGTTGAGACGAAGGATCCAGGCTTGACCTGGTGAAGTAACATAGGACAGGTTCAGAGAGTTTAAATGGAACATCCAAGTAGGGGTGTTAGGTACGGCAATTGGTGGAGAACATTAGGCAGACTCTTTAAATAGGTAATATAGAAAGTTACACAAATGGCCAATTGTACACTCTTCCTGTAGTAGCTCCTTACAGAACTATATTCCTAAAAATATGTTAATAAAGTCAAAAGACCAAAGAGGTCACCTTAACACCGAAAAAAACAAATGATGCAAGGAATAATAAATAACAAACATACGTATATATATGTATAAAATTATAGTTTATAAAATATGCATGTAGGCATAATTAATTATTTTTAAATAGGTGATTACAGAGAAATGCAAAATAAATAATCATTCACTTTACAACAAAAAAAGTAAAACTGGTACGTATAATACTAATTATAGTTGTTATTTT